ATGGTTGTACATAGGGAAGGCATTCCATGCAGATAGAATACCAGGAACAAAGCAAGGAGGCTGAAAAGAGCAGGATGTTTTAGGGAAGGGGGAGAAGTTTAGTCTGTTATTGAGGGGCCTCAAGAGAGACCAGACTGGTGTCAGGTTAGTTAAGGCCAGGTAGAGGAAGGCCACATGTTCTAGGCAGGAAGATTAGACTATCCTGAATGCATGGAATCCATTGAGTTTTGGGAAGAGACTGACTAAATCAAAGGTGATTTAAGAATAATTGTGTCACAGCAAAGTGGGAGGTGAATTTTATACGTAGACTGTAGACAGGGAGATTGATGAAGCCAGTAACAATAAGAATAATGGCTGATTTTTATTAAGCACTTACAGTGTGCCATGCAATATCTGTACTTACAATATCCATTTTTTGCTCACAAAAACCCTGTTATTTCACTCCTTTTCACAAATAAGGAAATTTAAGCTTAGGATAAATAACTTATCCAGATTCACCATGGAGGCAGAGTTGGAAGTTGAACCCACTTACTGTCTATAGTAGTTGGTCCACAAGTTGGCTGTAATCTGAAAGTGTTAGCAATGGAATTAGAGAAGATCCAAGAAACGATACTCTCTTTACGTGATAGTATTTTCTTTATGTTAGAGGTGAAGAATGAAAGAGCAAATATCACCATGGTTGGGCTCAAGTCCTGGACTATCTTCTCCAATACTGATCTGATCCTGTATCTCCTACATACTTTTCCGTAGTAAATAGGACACCAGTAAGCAAACTGCTATTACAGTTTTACCTCACTTTACAAAAACTCAGTACCAAAATGAGGCAAGGGTATAGATACTAATTGGGCTTGGCCTTCTACTGGGACTCCTCAGAAACCTCACAGAAGGAAGTGGCAACAGCACTGGCTTGGAGGTGTACCAAGTTATGCCTCCAAATATTCCTGTTGGGGGCATTTCCCAAATATGGTCTAGAATTTTTCCAAGGCATTTGCTTCTAGGTGAAAAACCTTTCTTACCTGTACCTCTTTAAAGATTTTAATGGTTTCAGGGCACTGGAGGAGTGGTTTTCCTGTGCTCTGGTCAAGTCAACACTTCTGCATTCTCCCTTCCACTCCCAACCCCCAAAGGTGACAGACAATAAGGAGGAAGAGCTAGTGAGTATACTCTTCAGGAACCACTAGATTGTTTTGCATTCCCAATACTGAAAACTATAAAGACTATAAAAGAGGAAGGGGAGAGGGTCATTTATTACAATTCGTTCTACCTCTCCCCACCCTTTATACTTCTGGTCTTTCCCTGATTGTGGATGAAAAAAATTAAGCCATGTATATGGCAGAACTTCTTCAAACCTAGGAAAGGCTTTCACCTTCAAAAATTCTAGTATATGTTTTATCATACATTGACTTTTTCCCTTTACTAATATTCTTACATCATTTTGTTTATCTTTTATCATTCTTATTAGCTCCTTAGTTCCTTAAAAACAAATTACCTTTTAAGAAAAGGACCTTCTACCACCTGCACCATTGTCCTGCATATAATAATCAATCTTGATTTGTTATTTTTTTCCTCTTTTTTTTGTTTATCTTTTCTACTCAAAACTTATCTCTGGTGACAATACCAGCAGTTCAATAATATTCCTTCAGTAATGTTTATTGAATTAATTCTATATGTCAGATACCTTAGACTGTGAATGCTAATTGCTTTCTAGACGTCATAATTCTTATGAGAGGTCATCAACACCTTTGAGAGTCTGATAAAAGCCATAGGAACCTGTTCCCAGAAAAACATACATGCATAAAATAATTCTGCAACCCCTGTCATATAGTCTGTACTTTCTGACTCCATCAAAACCAAAACTAATCTTTTTTGAAATCTAAAAGATCCTCTTCAGTGTGATATGTTTAGTGTTTACACTGTATAATCACATATAATCTATATAAATAGATAACTATATTCGTATGTAGTTGATTAGCACTAGGGAAACTATTTCAATACTTGAACTGTTTTTTTTCCCCCAAATCACAAGATTGTAAAACAAAAAATAGCCATCTTTCTGCTACTAGAATTTGAAAGGCAAAATACATTGTAGCATTGTTTTTTCTTTAAGGAAAGAGTTCTAATTATTCACTGATAAAAGCATTTTTCAAATTATAATATGCCACATTATTAAACCTAGTCTTTGAAATTTTTAAGTTCTGGTCTCTTGTTTTAAATTTTGTGCTACCTGAAACATAAATAATTAAATTAAACTAATGTAATTGTTGTACAATGTTTATTGTCTTGAAAATATATTGATTTTCATTGAAGAAAATGAGTAGTGGTTGCAAAATTATTGTTTTCAGAAGAGTTTACCAGTGGGTTTTTTTGTATTCTTTCTCTTGTACTGCTCTACCTAATTAACATCAGCATTTGCTAAATTTTATTGCAGAAAGACTGATAAGAAAGAACCCTGTCATCTAGAATCCAAGATCTCTGAATTTGTGTAAAACTTGTATGTTACAGGGCACAAAGGAACAAAAATTGTCATTTGAGAATTTCTTCTGTCTGTGAATAATTAATGATGAGATAACTGAACACAGAACAAAAGTTACAGACATCCAAACTTCTTACTTCTATGTGGAAACCTGGTGCAATGATTATGATTTCACTAAGAGAAGACTGTTGAGATTCCCAAAAGGATGCGATTCCAAGTAACTTTGAGGAATCCAGTATGACGTTGCTTTGTTGCCGGATGAAGTCTATTTTAAACAGTAAAGTAAGCTGATTGCAATGTAAAGAATCTCTCTACCCATAAAAAAGATCTCTAGGCAGTTCAAACATCGTCAAGATCAGGGAACATGATTCAGGTTCTTACATGGGTAAGGCACTCTGGGAGGTACGTGGCTTGCAAAAATTTACGTATAGCTCTGCCTTTTTGGTTCTCATGACTAACTAGACTAATTTGCCATGAGGGCAGAGACTGTTTTTATTTATGTTGTTTTTTATTACATTTATATTTGCTTATTCCCTCAATACTTACAACCATGCCTGACATATAATAGGTGCTAAGTAAATATATATTGAACATCTGAATCAACAACCATGAAAACAGTTGGAGAGAAAAAGAGATGTTAAATGAAAAAAGGAAAGCTCTATTTTGTAGCATAGCTTTTTTTTTTAACGCCTACAAATTATATTAACCAATATTACCCCAATAAACTTAAAAAAATTTTTTTAAAGTAAATAAATGCCTAGAGCACTTGGTCTTCCTAGGTGGTCTCCCATCCAAGTACTAACCAGGCTCGACCCTGCTTAGCTTCCAAGATCAGATGAGATCAGGCATGTTCAGGGTGGCATGGCCATAAACTGTAACATAAAAATATTATGTTCTTTTAAAACTTTTATTATGTGATATTTGAGGTATACAAAAATATATATATATAGTAAATGTAAATTATTAAACATAATACTAAAATAAGCCACAGTGGACCCACATACCTATTCAAATACTTGTGTACTTCCCAGTGTCGATCTCCACTCTCCTAGCCCAAACTGCATTCTCAGTTCAGAAGTATTTTAACTTTGAGATGTATAAATCAGAAACAAGGATATATAGAAGACAAATTAGGTAATGAGAATTATTCATTTAGTAAGCAACTGAAAAATAAATACATTTATTGATAGTCACATGGAAGATCATTTATTAAAGGCCCTTCGAACATCATCAAAAAATACTAAACAAGTTTACTTCTAGTGTTAAATCCTGGGATCATCGGAACAATCTACACACACAGGAAAGGCATATGCTAGAATTCATTTTTCAGTGTCTTTTTTTGCCCATCCCTTTGTTGGTGTTAAATGATTTCTGAATGCATTTTTTTGAAAATTTGCTTTAAATTGCTTTTCTATTTGTCATATATAATTTTTTTTCATAGTCTCAAAACTGCCTTTAATCATTTTAGGTATGTTTTCATATAGATTCTGAGTGGAATTCTTCCTGTGATTTGTCTGTGAAGAGATTTTAAGTTACAACACTGACTGTCAGTAAAGGTTTACTAAAGCAGAGCATGAAAGAAAAATAAAAGCACAGGCCATAAGCGGAATGGCATTAAAGCAGCATTTATCAAATAAAAATTCTACACTAGTGTTTACAGGTGCATCTTTTTATACAATGTACTGTATAGTGTATTGTATCTACCATCTTAAACTCATAAATTCCCAAGAAATATAATATTGTAAATGGCAGGACAATTTTATCCTTCCCATTTATCTTTCTGTATCTGGTTTTCATTGCGTTTCTGTACGTAGCCATCAAACAAGTTGTGTATCTGATTTCTTTATTTTTTTGACATAATTTCAATCTTATAGAAAAGTTACAAGAACAGTGAAAAGAATTCCCATGTACCCCTCACCTATATTTCCAAATGTTAACATTGACCACATTGCCACACATGCTATATTCTCTTGGTCCTCCCAGCAGACGTGATGCGTTTTTGTCCCCAAATGTTTCAGTTTATGTTTCCAGAAATAAGGTCATTCTATTCTATAGCTACAATACAATTATCAGAATTAGAAAAAGGGCATTTGTTTAACATTTTCTAACCTGCAGTCTTTATTCGAATTTTGCAAACTGTCCCAATACTGTTCTTTAAAGCAAAATAAAATCCTAGGTCATCCATTGCATTCAGGTGTCAAGTCTGTAGTCTCACTGAATCTGGAATCCTTTCTCGGTCTTTGTTTTTCACAACATTGACTAATTTACTAATTTTTGTTTGTTTTCTCTTTCATTTTTCTGTTTTTTTAATTTACTGATTTCTAATCAATATGCTGAGAATTTTTAAGGAAGTAAATATATATTAAGTGAATTAATTACTGTGAAGATATACATGAAAAGTTTTAGATACTAATTATCTTATGTTACATCCCTTAAAAAATCATGCCCAAAGAAATAGTAGAGCAAAGGGTAAGAAAAAATTTAGAATTCTAGGCTCCTCCCCTTACTAACTCAATACACTATTCTTTACAGATGAGAAATTAGAAAACAGACCAAGACAGATCAAATAACTGATCAAAAGTCCTCCAGCTCACCTGATTTCTAGGACTTTATAGCTTATAATGCCTAATGGGGAAAAAATTATTGTAAAACCCAAAGTATTACTTTGGTTTATTTTATTAATTCCATCTACTATATTTGGTTTGCCCATAAGAATTCTGCCTATCAGTGGTCCCTACTGTTAGATATTTATTCTGTACAATAGTTGATATTCAATATATAATGTTTATAATATAATACTTGTCATATATAGAAGTTAAATTTATCTTAGGACCGTCCACACAGTATTTAGATAGCAATGTGACAGTTTATGTAGGATACAAGTGTAGCATGATCTTAATCTTACGTACTTCACAGAGCACAAGGTGGGCTCTGGGCTGTGTTCTGGAAAGAAACCTTTTAATCAGGTGGTGGTGTAAGATTTCCATGCACAGAGGACGGAAGAGGTTTGCTGCTGCAGGCCCGAGGGTGCAGCCTGAGCTAGTCTACCCAAAGCCACACATTTCTTTGAAACTGTATTTCATGTTTAAAATTGATACACATTTATGTTTCTTGTAATTAAAAAGATGTTGCCCCCAACAACCAAGAGATAAGACTTATTTTTCCTGTGGCTTCAAATACCCCTGTATATCATGCACCCCAGTTTGAGAAATACATGAACAAATTTATGAAAAGAGTTGTGGAATTGCATGCTTGGGGTCCAGACAGAATAAGTATGGTAACTCATGAGTGACATTTTGACAAGTAAAGGTAGTCTGTGGAGAAGTACAGATGTGGGACTCAGGAGTAAGGTTGGGCAGAGAAGTTGTGTGGACTTTAATGCCACCACAAGGACTTAGAGAAACACTGAATAATAGGACTAATGCAGATTGCAAGGAAGGAAACCAGTATTCTGGTTCTCTGCTACTCCCTTTGCCATTTGACCTTGGGCAAGCACGGAAATCTGGACTCTGGTTTCTTTATATGGAGAAAGGCAAGACTAAAATCAGTGGTTATAACTTTCCTTTTGTCTATAATATTTTGTGTACTTTCCAGTGACATTCTGCTTCTCCCCCAGATTAAACTGCATTGTCAATTGCATTCTTAATAAATACATTAGCTTGTTAATAGTCACGATTCATAATTGACAAATTTAATCTGATAGATGCCCTTAATATTATTAGTAGCCACATGCTGCTGATGATACACAATGTCTATTCCAAGGCAACCTTTGTATTTTCCCTTTTAAGAACATCACTGTGATATCCAGGCCTGCCATCTTATGGATCCTGAATGGTACTGCCAAAATAGAGGGTAGTGTGTCTGTTAGTGTCAGGAGATGATTTTTGCACAGATCAAGAGAATACCTGCTTTTGTATATGTAACTTATTTCCAAAGGAGTTTCCAAAGGAGTATTTTGAAATATTTTTGGTAATTCTTAATTTTAACTCTCTAGGAAAGAATCCAAGTAAATCTAAGAAACTGCTCACCCTAATTTAATTGTGTATTGATCCCAAAAAATATTTATCTAGGCAGTGTTTCTTTGTTTTTGAAATTGTTCAGAAGAGAATGGGTCTTTGAAGAGATTGCGCGGAAGTGCTGGCATGCATATTTTATGAAAGCCGTGATCAGCTCCTCATACATGATTGTGAAATATGACAATGTTTTTTTCTTTTTATATAGCTGGGAAATGATGAGGATAGTTCCATTGGAGACAGGCTGAGGGGAATTCACTCCTTTATTCCCCTGCTCATTGATGCAGCTTAGCATTTTTCTTTATTTCTGCAACAAACATGGAGATTAGACAGTAGGAAACATTTTTCAGCTCTTTCAAAATTGTAATTTAAAAATATTGCAAATAAAAGATGAAGGAAAAAAGACTGACTCTAAAGTGAATTATGGAATTTGTCTCAATTTAAACTTTATTTTGTCCAAAACATCCAAATACGATTTTTTTATCTCCTTTCCCACTGATTTAATTTGAGACACTGAAATATTCCAAAGATTGCTTTTGATGGGCATTCCGAAATTTTATCTGGGAGCAAAAATGGTAATTCTGTTTAAGGTCGTTGATCTCGTGAAGGTTTTAAAACTGCACTCTATTTCTCATTGGTTTTCAATTTATTTTCAATATGCTTCAGTATTTGTGGAGGTTTTAATCCTTTTCAAGTTGAAATGTGATTATTATAGTACAGTAGAAGGCAGCATTTGGACATGGCTGATACTGCAAGCACTTGCTGTAACTAATTTTCATCAATATGGATCCTTACAACTGAATCAAACATCACTTTATCACAGAGAATTATAGGGAACTTCTGTCCAAACCATTTTAGCTTCTTGGAGCTCCCTTTTTGCTGAACAGAGATGTTGCCTGAGATTACCTTCTTTTTTTCCTGCCTCTTGGAAGGTTAATGCTTTTCCTAACCATCTTGTGATTTAATTATCAGATCCCCATTCTTTAGAACTTTCTCTCTTAGTTTGACTAAGTTATTACTATTGCCTTTAGGAAGCAGTGGAATTATTTCCATGTTGAGCCCAATCAAAAGACTGTGACTTCCATATTTTTTGTTGATTTTTGTCATATATTTTAAGATTTTTACAGATATTTAAAATCCTTTCAAATTCTAGTCAAAATTTGTCTATGGCCATGCTACCCTGAACAAGCCCAATCCTGTCTGATCTCAGAAGCTAAGCAGGGTTGGTGAAATTGTTCACCAAAATAAATCACTATAGGAAAGATACCTCACACATTTTGGGAGGTTCAAATTTCACTGATAAAGGTAAAGTTTGAAATAATTTTAATGCTGCTACCTGGTTTGGGATAAAGAATGCAAATGTGTGATTTACATGTTGAAACAAATGTATAACTACCTATTAAATTTCAACATTTAGTTTATTTTTACTTCTGCCACAGGAATATTCCAGTGGCCATAAATCCAGAAATAAAATCACTGCCAACTCTGTACCTTTCACCTAAATATGCGATCACAGTATTTTTCTTGAGGCAATTACTTTTGAAAAAATAAGGTACCAGTGAAAATTTAAATTGAGGCAGCTGGTTTTATAGAGCCCTTTAAAAAGATATTAAAAAAAAAAAACTTGTTAAGCAGAATTGCTTAATATAGAATAAGTTAGATAGAAAAGAAGTAAATTGTTTCTGTGAAAACTCAAGC